GCCTTTCCAAGTCGTACAGGCCCAATTAGGCGCGAGGCCAGGTAGGCGCAAAGCCATAACTAGCATGAGAATTTCTGGCCCTTGACAATTTTAGTTCCAATCTCTTTAGCTCGATGAGAGGAATCGTTTAATACTAAATTTGATGAGATTTGAAAATCTTGAAGCAAGTTATGGCTTTACGCCTACTCGGCCGCGCGCCTAGCTGTACCCTTTCAAGTCTTTTTTTAATTAAAAAAATTTTTCTCAAATTTTAGATGACAGAACATCCCATTTGGAAAATTGGCCTTTTCAACAGAATTAACGTCAATGAAGCCGAGTGTATTAAATGCAAGGAAGACGGGGCCGTTAAGTATATATTTAAGCTTCCCTATCGTAATCTAAAAGGATTGTTTGCACATGTTAGAAGTAAAATACACAAAGATACGGAAATTTGTAAATATTTTGAACAACTTATGGCAGAACAAGACAGGTTAAGATAAAAAATTTTTTATTGAAAAATTCAAAAATTTCGTAAAGTCTTGAGGGTTACATGCAAAAATTGTTAGAAAAATAGCTCGGGGCAGAGATTGACAAAAAAATCACTGGCAAAAATAATTTTTTACCAAAATGACACTGAAAAATGACAATTTGTCCCATTTTAATTTTTAAAAGTTCCAGTAGAGTCTGGGATTTCTAATATTCATTTTTATTCATTTTACTTTAGCCTTAATAAATTCTAATAAATTTTAACTAATAATTATTATTTAATGACAAGAACTGGAGTTAGTAACTGGACGGAACTTGAATTGACAGCTTTTGTGGAGGTTACTCTTTTTATTTTTGATTATTTTTATTTTTTGAAGATTTTAAATTTTAGGTACCCCATTTTAGTTCTTCCTTATTTTCACTTTTTTTTCCCTTTGTCAACTATAGATTGAACTGAATCTGGATCCAGACCTTGATTTTTATTGGATCCAGAATCAAGATTAAGTCATTTTCCAAAATCAGGGTCATGGTTTTTTTAATTTTCGTTCTATACTGGAAATTAGAAATCGAGCTGACCTGGACCAAGCTGCACCTGGTTTTTCCTGTACCCAGACCCCAGAGTCTAGGTCCAGGCATTTTTTGACCTTCCTGGGTTTTTCCTGGACTACAGGCCCAGGATCCAGTCCAGGTCAAGAAATCTAACCCAGAGTCCAGGAACAGGTCCAGGCTTTTCAAAAATTTTGATTTATACTGTAAGCTAAAGAAATTGGAAGGAAAGTAGGCAAAATAATGAAAAATGGGGGAAATAAAATAATTTGGGGTACCCAAACTTCAATGTTCCCCAAGTTCATTTTCAGGAGATTTCTTCACGACAAGAATTAATTTTTAGAAGGCATAGACCTGTAAATACGGAAATTGATTTAGACGCAATTTGGGCTTCCGTAGCAAATGCTTGTGCTGACAGAGGATTTGAAAGATTTGCTGGACGTACTCGAAAACAATTACAATGTGATTTGTGGGGAAAGAAGAAAAAAGAGGTTATGGAAAGATATGAAAATGCTTTGGCAGCTGGAATTGATGAAAGCCGCAAATGGAAGGATGTAAGTGAGAAATTTAAGGTTTTAGATTTTGAGTACTTGTAAGGACAGATCAATTTTTGGGAATATTATTTGCGGAAATTTCCAATAGTTGTTGCTGGAGATCGGACCGAGACGAGATCCCGAAAAAATTTTTTTCTTCAAGATCTCGATTCTCGTACGACCCTCTCAGTCCGGTCTCTAGTTGTTACCCTTTTCTTTTATTTTTTTTGAATTTTGGCACAATAGTTTGGTGTACCTAAAGTTTAAAGTTTCCCCATCTATTTTTAGGAGTTTTAGGATCCAATTTTATTTTGAGTTTTTTAAAAATAGTAATGCTCTGATAATTAAAAAAAATTTTTTTGATTGATTAAATGGAAAAGGCAAAACAATAGAAATAGGGGGAAGAGGGAATAGGAGAAGTCTGCAAAATCTAAAATTTTTATAAGTATCAAAAATTTTAAAAAAATTTTTTAAATTTTATTTTTAGTGGGAAAGATTAATAATTGAAATGTGCAAAAATAATGGAGGAGAAGAAGAAACACCTAACAGAAAAAGGCCTATAGAAGAACAATTTTTGGCTTTAGCAAATTATCAATCTAACAATAGCAATAAAAATGGATGTAATTTGGATGAAATTTCACAAACTTCTTCGAACGCTGGTTGGCCTAAACATGTCAAATTGGAGGTTTATTTTTTTTTAAATTTAAATAGGGAATTTATCTTACAAATTTCTATAAGAAGTGTAAAATTATAGTGAAAAAAACGAGTAAATATTGCAAGTATCAGATATTTGCAAGATTATTTGGAACTCATGCAGTACCCCATTTATTTGCGAGCTACATCCGTATTAATTAGGCGAATTAACTAATCAACCCGATTATTCGCGAGCTAGCAACAAGCCTATATTAAGCGTACTAAATAAAGCAGCTAGTTAACACCACATGATGCGAGGAATTAGCTCATGTGTTTTTCGACCTCAATATGGTTACTTTGACCATTTTTAGCTTGCTAATAAATGGGGTGTGTACCCAAACTGCATAAGTTCCGATTATATTTTGTTTGCATATTTTTGATGAGAATTATCAGAAATATTTTTTAAATCATGATTTTTGTTATTTTAAGTTATTTAGGAATTGTTGGGATAAATCAAATCTGGCCAAATTTTAAAAATTATAAAATTCAAAAGGGTCCAAGAGCATAGCCAGGGGGTCATTTCGGGGGGAGGAGGGCTAACATGGGGTGTTTACCTTTCCCCCATTCGAGGGGGGGCTTCAGCTCCCTGGCTACGCCCTTGAATGAGTCAAATTCAAAAAGGGGTCAGATCCAAAAAGTGACAATTATTTATTTTTTTCAGGAGGAAGATTTAAGATTAATTCCTCAAGTATCTCTATTTGAACGTTTGTGTCCTTCTAATAATAATTCAACAACAAATAATGTTGAAATTCTAACAGAAAATCACCAACAACAAAACCAAAATTCTTCCCAAAATTTTTCATTTAAATATTCTTGTAGAGAAGATGTAATTAATCAAATATTTAAACAAAAAATTAAATTGGGATTAAAATGGACAGAAATTGCAAAAATTATTGGAAATAGTAAAGAATGGACAACAGCTGCGTGTTTAGGAAAAATGCAATTTAATGAAATTGAAGCAGAAAAAATGGTTTTTTTTTCTTTTTAAAATTATTTTTCTGATTTTTTTTGTTGAAAAAATTTTATTTTTGAAGGAAATTATCCGCAAAAGATGTCCGCAAAATTAAAAAAAATTTCTTTTTTCAGAACAAAATTTTTGGGTTTATTTTTGATTCTTATTTCTTTAACCTTTTATTCTCCCAAACATTTTTATTTTTCCTGTTCTTAATTAGGTCCTTTTGCAGGGGGAAAATTAAGCCAAATTTTGGAGGGCCATATCCTGGCCAGATCAAAAAACGGACAGAAACGGCTCAAAATCCTTGCTAGAAAGGACACATTCTCTAATCGAATGAGCCCGGTCTCGACCGTTTTTAGGTCGGACGCCTCGCAACCTTCCCTTATAAATCCCATAACCAGTAAAATTCTAATTTGAATGATTCATGCTAGTTTCCCTTAAAATTAAAAAAAAATTTCGAAATTGGCAAAGCCAAAAAGGGTAACAGATTTAAGTATTTTTTGATTTTGGATGGAATAAGCTATTAAAAATATGATTAAAAATTTTTTTTATTAAACAGATTGAAATATTCCAATTAGCCCCAGATGCAAAACAATGGCTCAAATCTATCCCAAATAGAGGAAATACTAATAATTGTGCAAGTACTTCTAATGATCCTCTTTTGTATCGGTTTCAAGAAGTAATATACAATATTTATTAAATTTTTAATAGTTTATTTTTAAATTTCAAAACATTACCGGAAACCCCAAACTTTTTTTCGAACCTTAAAATTTAATTTCTGCAAAAAAATTTGCGGACTTTACGCAAAAATATTTTGGAGATTTTTCTTCTTTTTGGGCAATTTTCTTTTATAATTTTCTACTACATATACATTTAGAATTTTTTTAATTAGCTTTAAATTTAATTTTTGGTCTTTTTTCAAATTCAAAGAACTGTCCGCAAAATTTGTCCGCAAATTAAAAAAAAATTTTTTTTTAATAATTTTTAAAGGTATTCAATATTTATGGAGATGCATTAAAAGAATTAATTAATGAACAATTTGGAGATGGAATAATGAGTGCTGTAGATTTCCGAATAGATTTACAGAAAGAATTGTGTAATGAAGGTGATAGAGTAAAAATAATTATGTCGGGAAAATTTTTGCCTTATAAACGATTTTAAATTTATTTAATTTTCTCATCAGCCTTTTTATTATTAAATATTTATGCATACTGTAACGATTTATTTTCTTTTTTATTTTTTAAAGAAATTTGTAAGCTCGTTTTTTTGACTTACTATCATACATGTGGTCAGGAATATGTTGCATTGCCCGAAACCCCAAACATTTCGACTTAAAACGGCCCTGACTTTTCCCTCAACTCAATCCATTTCTTTTAGCTAAACCCTTATGTTTCTTCAAGGAAGCCTTTGTCCTCTGAAAAAACTAAGCCGTTCTTTCTGCTCCTCCTGTACAGGTGGAACCGGCACATCGTTCGGGGTTGTCAGATCGTTGACGCAATTCCTGCATGGCACTCGCCAGTTCCTCTGCTGTCGTTTGTGGTTGTTGCTGCTTCGGGGGGCAGCAGTTGTGTGTTGGAGACGACATTATACATAGTCCTGTCGATGACTGGCATGATGTGAGGCAGAAGAAGATATTGAACAGCTCAATAAAACTGCTTTTATAGCCCCTACGTTTTTTTGCTGACAACTTTTTATTTCCTTCTTGAGAAAATACTATAAAAGCCCCCGACATTTTACTCATCTCCACCAACTCTACAAAACATTCGTCGCAACTCACAGAACGTCTACATCGTCTACTGCAACTCTACATGCTCATCCGCTGCCTTCTTCCATTGGAGCTCGACACCGGACCACGGGCCAGAAAGTCGTCAACGCTGTGCTCTCTGCTGCTGCTGCTCACCATCGCCGCACTTGCAGTTCTCGGACAGGACAAAATCGAAGAAGTCGGACTTGGCAAGCACACATTGATTAACGACAACCAAGTGACGCTCGTCGACCACACCGTAATTGCCAACAAGGCAAACTTTGACGACCTTGCTGATTGTAACTTCAGGAAGCTGTATCCGGACGCCTGCGATGTTACAAACGAAGACGACTACATGTGAGGACTTTTTATTCTTTTTTTTATGACTAATCGTAACTAATCTTTTATTTTGTTTCAGCGAGCTTCGGTACAACTATCGCAGCAATGGATGCACTGTGGACCTGCTCAGCGAGAACAAGTCGAACGACAACACGATCAAGTTCACGACCGGAGTGCGAAACCCAAGAGGTGGAAATCTCACCAGATGCCTTGACGATGGTGCCACTTTCGAGAAAAGCCATAACAATATGTAAGTTTGCATTGTTTCTTTCGACTTAATACTTGTCTTAAATCCCTTAAATTTTTTCAGCATGCCTTTCGTCTACAACGTGAACAACACAGCCATCAAGAGGTTCAACAACAAGGGCCCGTACAATGGAACTGACGAATCGTGCTATAAGAAACCGTCTTGTGAGGGTACAAGTGGTACATGCATGCTGTGGACATTTCTTGAAGTCTCGTGGAGCTTGTCTAGGGGGCAAGTGTATGCTTATACACATCTAGGTGAGGATCTTGTTTAGTCTATTAATATCTTTTCCTAAACTATTTTTAAGTTGGAGAAGGGCTGGATCAAAGCGTGAATCAACTGAAGTCCATGGATGGTGGTGACATGACCTTCAATTTGGCAATAAATTCTTCAAACGCGTTCACGATGAACTTCACGGAAGAAGAGCACTTCAACGCTGCGAAAAAGGCTGCTTGCGTTCCAAAGAACACTCCAATCGTAAACCCCGAAACATGGATGATCACGAATGGTGGGGACGGGCTCATTGGCAAACGACTGCTTGTCTTCAGCCTGCTTCGACAAAACGCGACTTTTGTGTACACTGGTGGTCAACGCTCTGGATCTCCAAAAGGACCGTACTGCGAACTCTTCGTCAGATTCGTGAGTTTTCGATTTTTTACCTTTATGCAGCTTTTTTGTATAACTTTCCACCAATCTTATTTTTCAGGCTACAAACGACTACAGCCTGCTCGTTGTCAACACCTCTGCAACAACAACGCCACCGACTACGACGACTACTGCAGCGACCACAGAAGCTCCAACAACGGGAACATCAGAGACGCCTAGAACGACAACATCTTCAGCGACAACTTTGCGTACGGCCGCCAACAGCTCCACTTCCACCAGAACGACTTCTCGAACAACAACGAGTCCACAGCAGCAGGAGGATTGTGGCGGAGGTCTCTACATTGCAATTGGCATTGCTGTTGGCCTCATTGTCGGGATCGTCATTGCAGTTTTGGTCTGGCTCTTGATGAGGGAGAAAGGAAAGAATAAGAAAAAGGGAGGGAAGCAGGACGCCGAACTTGCAGAAGAAGATCGTCTGCTTGCACTGTACAAGGCTGAGGAGAAGACCAAAGGCAAAAAGGCCGTCGGGACATTTGCTGCATGGAAAAAGAATGTGAGTTTAAAATTCCATTCTTTATAAATCAGACTTTTATTTTTCCCATCTTTTCAGAGAAAGGAGGGCGAAACGACGACTGCGGTGGAGCTGTCTTCAGTCGACGACCTGATCGCTGCAATCTGGAAGAGAGTGGAGAAGAAAAAGGCCATGGACAAGCTGCAGTACCTTGTGGACCAGTTCGAGAAGCAGAAGGACAATGAACTCTTCGAGCGGGAATACACGCCGGAACTGAAAAAGAAGGGACTTGCAGCTGTTGGGTCTTTCGAGAAGTGGAAAAAGGTGAAGAATATTTTTAAATTTCTGTTTAAAAATCTCAGCTAATCCTCCCAATTTTTATTTTCAGAGCAAGAACATTGCGGCGACGTTCACCTTGAACGATGGGACAAGGACGGCGATTGAATACGAGCAGCCAAAGGTCATCGAGAAGATCGTCAAGAAGGCTGAGAAGTGGACAGTCGAGGAGGGGCCGACAATTGAGGAGAGGGAGATAAAGGAGGCGAATAGAGGCGCTGTGGACGGTGTCGATGTTCCAAAGACTGAGGAGGAGGAGGAGGTTGATGATGGGTGGATTCCGCCGTCGGAACCGAATAATAATTCGAGAGAGGAGATATAGTTGTGATAAATTTGTGTCACCATATATTGTTCTCTCATTGTATGTATTGTATATTTCTTGTTGTTTGTATTGTATTTGAATTGTTGTATTTAATTGTATTTTTGTGTGTGTAAATAAATTGTTGTGTTTGTATTGTTTATTTTTTCGATTCGAAAAATTGCGAAGTGTCCCTATTTTAGTTTAACTTTTGAATACGAAGCTCAGAAGTCTAGATGATTCTTGTTGAATAAGGAGTACATAAGAATTGTAGTCCAAATTACCTCAGAATTACCTCAGAACTTCCAATGTTAGCTTCAGTTACCGTATAACCTGTATTAATTGCCCTCCCTCAAATAATTACCCCACTTCTATTAACTACCCCATACAGCGATAGATTGAAACAATAATTACCCCTCATCAAATGCCCTAAAACACGTTCAATTACCCTCCTTTGATTAATTACTCCCTCCAACGGAAGGACGAAACAATAATTACCCAGGGCAGCTATTAAAGGTCTACTAAATTTTTATTGGTCTACTAAATTCATTAAATTTTCTATTATTCACTTTGTTCATTGCCGAAAAAATTTTTTTTATCATCCATTTTGCCGTCCAAAATTTTTATATAATTTATTTCTTCTTCCTTTTTTCATATTTTTATCCATAAAAACACACCCGCTTCTTATTAATTACCGCCCAAGCGTAAGGGGTCGCGCAGGAGACAAGTAGCGACTGTGCGGCGCCAAATATTATTTACCCAGCTACTTTAAATATTGAAAAAAAACATTTAACTGGAGGTGAGAAATGAATGAAAAAAGACTGGACCTTCTACCTAGACTAACAAACATTCTAATGAATTACCCATAAAATCACCTTCTAGAAAGACAAATTTTATTACTTTGTTTTGCCCTCGTTCTTGCGAAAGATGGCGAGTTTACGAAAAATTAAAGCACCTAAAAATTAAATCGTCAATATAACGAACACGAAGGGCCCTCAAGATTTTTTGAGAAGGGTCCTCAAGATCTTGAGGAAAAAGGAGAAAAGGTTCATCAGAGTGGTCCATACATGTAGAGTGGTCCAAACAAAGTGGGCCACAAATCCAGAATCGTTAAATTTAAAGATGACCGTGTCCCCTCCTTGTATACCACAATGAGGGCCCTCAAGATTTTTGAGAAGGGTCCTCAAGATATTGAGAAAAACTTAAGGAGCAAAGGTTGAGAGTGGTCCATCCCATACATTTAAAGTGGACCAAACAGAGTATTCCACAAATCTGGAGTCGTTAAATTGAAAGGTGACCGTGTCTCGTCCTTGTATAGCACCATAGCTCTCACTACCCAATTCTCTTAAAAATACCACATTCTCTCTACTAACTCCCTACTTCTACTTTAATCAACCAAATTTTGCTCAAAGAAATCTTGATTTATCAGAAGGTGATATTTTTGATTATCCAAGGATAACAACAAAAAGAGGAGCGCCCGTTCGATTGAACCTGAACCGGACAGGCTAGGGATCAAAAGGGAAAAGATTAAAAACCATCACACAACCAGCCGATTTAAAAAGTCATTGGTTATTTTTATTGCTTTCACTAAGCTTTCTCCATATTTTTTTCTTATAAAAAAATACATAAAAGCGAGTTGGTCAACTAAAAAAAATTTTTTTAGTTGTTTATTTTAACAACCTGTAAATATATTAAAAAATCTTCTCTCTCCTCTAATTTATTCATTTAATTAGCTTCCTAGCATTTTTCACAATATTTAGGGTAATTAAGGAGAAAATTAAAAGAAATTTTTTTTTAAAGCTGGAATGGCTACTACAAACATTTTGCCTAAAGAAATACGTTATTCAGCCTTTCTTGCTTCTGCAACAAGCGGAATTGTACTTGTAATTTCATTATTTGCAATGATACAAATTCAGCAAGAAATTAGTGGATTTTGGGAGGAAGTGGATGCTGGTGTAAGGCAATTTAGGGTGGGAAAGTTTATTTTTAAAAATAAAATTCTGATCAAAGTTTGTGAAAAAAGAATTGTAAAATATTTCAGAATTTGTAATTTTCAGAATTGTAAATTTATTTTTCAGAATATTAATACATATCAGAATTTGTAAAACCTTTAAATACAAATTGTAAAATTCAGAAAAAGAATTAACACAAATCGAAACCAGAATTTAAAAAATAAAAATCAGAATTTGCAAAAATATTGTTACAATTACATATCAGAATTTGTAAAAAACGAATTGTAAAATAATTCAGAATTTGTAAAATATCTAATTACAAATTGTGAAATTCAGAAACAGAAGTAATTAATATAAAATCAGAATTTGTAGATTCTGATTAAATTACAAATCAGAATTTGTAAGTTTTGTACAAATCAGAATATTTATATGCATGAGGAACAAAAACCAGAATACTAAAACTTGAAATATAAACATCAGAATTTGTAAAAAATATTTTTACAAATATAAATCAGAATTTGTAATAATATTAATCTAAAATAAATCTTAAATCCCCTAATTAAAATTTTAATTCCAATTTTAAAAAGGAATCAATAGAAGAAAATTGGAACGACTTAAGGCGGGTTCGCCGCGAAGTATACGAACCTTCCGCACCTGAATCAAAGCCTCCAGGAATCTCAACAAATACGAACGCCGCATGTAACTGCGCCACTGGAAGTAGTAATAAATGCCCTCCGGGTATACCAGGGCCAAAAGGAGTTAGAGGAAAGCCTGGAAATGATGGAAAGGATGGATTGAATGGCATACCTGGAAAGGGTAGTTGAATAAGAAGAGTTCTAAATTTTTAATTTTTTAAAAATAAAGATGCTTCTGATGTTCAATTAGCTCCTGAATATGAACGTTGTTATTATTGCCCCTCGGGTCAACAGGGAACAGTCGGACCTACAGGCAAATCGGGACCTAGAGGGATGAAGGTAGAGACATGAAAAAATGTTTTTTTAAATAAAATTTGTTTGAAGGGAGTCAATGGCAAGCCAGGAGCAGCTGGAAGAGATGGCCAACCTGGCAGTCCTGGGGATAACGGTACTTGATAAAATCGAATGAAAGTCTAAAATCAAATTTTTAGGACCCCCAGGCGCTCAAGGGGTTGTAGGACAACCAGGCCCTGTTGGAGAGAAAGGACGCGATTTTCATCAACAAATAGGCCGTCCAGGTTCAAAGGGTCCAAAAGGACCCCCTGGACCTCAAGGCCCAATCGGAAATCCTGGAATGCCTGCACCGCCGGGACCGCCTGGAGAAACGCCTGGAGAGAGAGGAAATCCAGGTAATTTTTTATTCAAAATTTTGTCAATTTTGTCATTCAAAAAGGTCCACCGGGAGAAGTCGGGAAGCCAGGACCTACAGGATTTGAAGGCAACAATGGAAAACCAGGTAGAATGGATGCAAGCTCGATTAACATTTTCTCTCGTTAAAGGACCCGATGCTCATTACTGTAGTTGCCCACCTCCATCATTTACTAGCAGAACAAAAAGTAATGGTTCTGTGGGCCGTGGTCCTTATAATTACTACTTTGGAATGTCAAGGCGAACTAGAGTTTAAAGAGAAATTTAAAAATGATTCCAAAATTAGACAAAAAAATTTTCCGGTCTCCGCGAAATAATCTTTTTATTTCGCCAATTGTTTTTAGTAATTGTATTATTTGTAAATACTTATTAATTTATTTCACGATAGATAATTAAAGGAAAGAAGGAAAAATTGCCTTTTTTGAATGCGAATTTAACAATACATACCTTTCTTAATATTCCTCAAAGTTTATTAAACAATTTTTTAAATTGGATTTCTCAAGATTATTCTTTGTTTTGTGTCCAAATCTGGTTTTTGTCTCCAACCTAATACAAAAAATATAAACATTTGTCAGTAAACACTGACCTCCAAAAATATTAAACTTTTTAACAAGAACTCGAACTTAGGGTTGTTCTACAAGCAAGTATATTTAATTAAGATTTAATTAAATGAATAATATTAAGTAAATCTTAGGTTATATTTTTCTAAAAATCGTTAGGCTTATGAAACCATAGAATTAAGTTCATTTATGTATTTATTTATTCACTAAATTAGGAACATTTTAATTTTTTAATTTTACACAATATTAATTATTTAATATATAATTTATTTAAATATTTGAATATTTCTTACAAATCATGAGAAGAATTTTGTGGAGTCACAGGGTGTATTTTTGGATACCGGCTTTTAAAGCTGGTAAGTTATTTTAAAGATACATGAGATAAATCAGGGCTCCGATCGACAAAATGCCACTCAAAAGTATCAAAAATTTGATTAAAAAGTATATAGGGAGAAAATTTGCAAATAAAAAGTAGTCTCAAAATTAAATTATAAAATATTTATTCGTCCTCAATTCTTTTATATTACTCTCCTAAATGAATCTTTTCTAATAATTTCTTGTTTCAACTGAGCATTTTGTCAATTTCAATGCACCTTTTGTGGGGCGAAAGGCGCCAAAAAATTTATTTTTTGCGCCGCAGGCGAAAATTTTTTGAAATTTAGAGCCCAAGAAGATAGATTTCATCCTTTTTCAGCGCCGCAGGCGAAAATTTTAAGAATTTCAAAGGCCGTAGGCCAAAAAAATTCACTTTTTTGCCCAATTTCTTTCCTAATTTCATTTTCAATCAAAAAAAGTATATACTTTCAAAAAAGTATAAATTCTATTTCGTAAGTATGGAGGTCGATTTAAAAGTAGAATACTTTTAAAAAAGTAGGAATCGGAGCCCTGTAAATATCCACATATTTAAAATTTCTACATATTTAAACTGCAGTTCTCAATAGAGCGGCTATTTGAGTGGGGATTGAGAAGTACTGTACTTTTTTGATAAATTAAATTTTTTCAAATTTAAAACAATCTTTTTTTTTACGTTGCTCTCCTAGACGAAGTTACCTTCCGGACTTAATTAAACTTAGAATCAGTGTTTAAAAATTTCAATTTTTCTCGTACTTTTACTTGGCACCTTGCCTATTTTTGGCCTCGTTCTCGCACGAGTTTATAAACACTGCTTAAAATATCATCGCTCTACAAAAACTATCACGAATTAATATTATACAATCCATTACATGTTACTTTACTTTATAAAAATTTAAAAATAACTCTTTAATACCTTCCTCAAATAAACTCTACTTATACATAGTACATATTAAATAATTTTTTTAATTAGATTTTTAAATACTATTTTTTGTTTTACAAAGACTTATAGATCTAATCCAAAAAATATAAATATTTGCCAGTAAACACTGACATCCAAAAATATTATCCAAGTGAAGCAAAACTTGAACTTAGGTCCGTTTTAAACGTAAGTATTTAATTAAAATTTAATTAAATAAATAATATTAAGTAAATTTTGAGTTATATTTTTCTAAAAAATGAGTTATCGTGAGGCTCATGAAACCATAGAATTAAATATAAAAAATATACTAGTTCATTAATTTGTGCTTATTAAATCATGAACATTTTCGATTTTGAAATTTTACACAATATTAATTATTTGATTTATAATTTTATTTGAACTTTTGAATATTTCTTACAACGTATGAGTGGTGTGTCGCCTCTGATTCATATTTTTGGGTACTGGCTTTTAAAGTCGGTAAGTTATTTTTACGATCCGTGAAATAAAGAGCCCCATGTTTTTTTAATTGACCGGCATTTCTGTTTAAACGGCAGTTCTCAATTGCGCGGGTATTTGAGAGGGATGGAGCAATACTGTACTTTTTGATAAATTAATTTTCTTAAATTTAAATAAAATCTCTCAGTCGAAGTTGCTTTCCTAAGATTTATAACTTAAAATTTCATTGCTCTACAACAACTACCACGAATTAACTATAATATTATACAATCTACTACATGGTACTTCTTATATAAATTTAAAAATAACTCCTTAAGACGTAAACAATTATATACATAATCTCCATGCCAACAGCTCTACTCCTTTTAGTCTATGTATGTTTTGCTATTTTAATTCCTAGATTATTTTTATTAAATTTATTTTTACAAAAATTATTTTTAAAATTTTGTACATGTTTCACTTGTTTACCTTGCAAACTTTTAAAAATTAAATTCTTCACTTATACCACCACAAATCGTATTTTTCATTGTTTGTTCTTGTAGCTCGTTTAGTTTTTTTGTACTGGATGGACGTTGTACAGGCAAAAATTAATTGAAGCGTTTTGAGGTGAGGGAAAACGAGGAGAGGAAGACGAAGGGAGGAAGACACTTTTTAAAAAAAAATTGAGGGGATGAAGAAATGGATGAGAAAAGATGAAGGAAGGAAACCCTTCTTAACGAGGAGGAGGCAAACCAGTTCGAGGCCATTTTGTTAAAAAAAAAGGTGGGCATGGGCAACAGACCAGAGAGAGGGAATGAGGGAGGGATTTGGGGCTGGATTAAGACGTTTGGGCGTTGAACCCAATCCGGGCCTTAATATAGGATCTTGGCTTCAATATAGGGCCTAGATCCATCAAAAAATTATAAATTTGGTTAGGCAACCTCGAGAAAGATTTTCGGATTTTTATTCAATACTGAGGAAATTATCTTAAATGATACAGAATTAGACAGAAAAATGAAGGGTATTAAATAAGTTTTTGTAACCTAACTCTAAATCTCAATATCCAAAAAAATTCTGGAATTTATAAGGGAGTTAGCTAACCATGTGAAGGACACCTTACAAAAATATCAGAGAATTATGGTTTCATAAAGAGGCATTCTCCTATGATCGCGCCAAAACGTTCTTGCGCCTAAAATACCCTACAACCTGAGGAAAGGAGATGTGAGATTAGACTCTCCCTTATATACAAACCGCAACGAGGTGATGCTCATCCCCTCGAAAAAAAATTAAAGAAAAAAAAAGAAGCAGCCAAGCAAGCAATCGGCGATTGTCGGCCATCGTTGTGTGGGTTTTTGAGGAGGAAAGGAGAAGGCGAGGGAGGGAGAGAGTCCCAATTCCCAGAGAGGAAGAACAGGAGTTGTAAAAGTGCGCAACAAAGCAATAAATAGAACAGTCCAATAATTGCTTTTTTTTTTAAATATTTTTCTATCCATATATTTTTATTTATATTAATATTTAACGTTAAAATGATTTTTTTGTTGATTATTAATAATTTTCTCTTTTTTGTATTCTGATCAATTACAAATTGTAAAATTAATTAATTAAACTTATTTCCTTCACCGGAAATGTTAATTTATTTATTTAAAGTTTTATTTTGTACACATTTTCAGAATTAAGTTTTTAAATATTCTGATAAACAAATATAAGTTGAAACTTTACAAATAAAATCAGAATTTGTAAAATAAATATATTTTTAAATCAGAATTTGTTATTTGAATAAATTTACAAATCAGAATTTGTAAATAATATTTATCAGAATTTTTAACCAGAATTTTAAATATCAGAATTTCTTTTAATAAATTACAATTCTGATTTCTTAATGTTTAAAATGAAATTCTGATTTTAAACAAAATCAGAATTTACATTTTTAATTAAAATTACAAATCAGAATTTGTAATACTACGAACTAGTTTCAATTTTTAATTGTAAATTTCTCTATTTTAAGGCCAAAAACTTCAATAAACTCAAACTTACTCAATAAATTTACTCAAAACTTCCCTGCTGTGCTTTTATTATTTTTCCCTCCATTAAATCAAAAAAATTTCTCCCTTCAAGGTCAAAAAACAACAAAAACAATTTTTTTAATATTTTAGCTTATTAAAAAATAAAAAAATAAAAAATTGCATTAAAATGAGTGAAATAATTGATGAAAAACTTAAACGAGAACGTTTTGGTCAACTTTTAGAAATGATTGGGGATGGATTATTGTAAAAATTAAAATAATTTTTTTATAAATTAATTTTTATTTAAGAGAATATATTGCCCTATCTGAGTATTATTTGGGAATTGAGCCCAAAGCTAACGAAGACAACAATAAAGAGGGAAATAACAACACGGAAAATAATAATCCAACCCAGTCAATTACTTCATTTCAAGTAATTTTTAATCTTTATTTCTGGTTGTTTCTGTCTCTTTTATTTATTACAAACTCAAGTTTATTTACAAACTTGTTTATTTATTCTTAAGTTTTATTTAAATACAAACTTAAGTTTATTTAATTTTAAACTTGAGTTTAAGTCTGTAAACTTAAGTCTTTAAACTTAAGTTTAATTTTAAATTCTAAAATAAACTTGCATTTACAATTTGTAAATTGTAAAATCCAAGTTTTAAGTTATTGAGGAACAAAATTAAATTTTACAACTTTTATTACAATTTGTAAAAAATCAGAAATTGTAAAATCCAAGTTTTTTTTACAAATTGTAAAAAATTTTTTTACAATTTACAAATTGTAAAAATCCAAGTTTTAATTTATTGAAGAACAGAATTAAGTTTTACATTCGTTTTTACAATTTGTAAAATTTAAATCAGAATTTATCAAAACAGAATTAAGTTTTGCATTCTGTTTTACAATTTGTAATTTTGTGAAATTCCAAGTTTTACTCAAGTTTATTTAGTTTCACAAATTAAACAAAAACAATTACAAATCAG